CCAAGAAATGGTAGGTGTCGTATATAAGGAAGTACGACACCGGTGTCGTATATAACACTACCGTTTTTTAAGAGTGCAAAGCAGTCACAGATTTGAAAATTCAACTATTGAGCCTGGCTAGAACCTCTAGATTTTGCAATTGGGGAATTGATGAGACGACAAGTCCGAAGAATTGTTGACGTATGGTTGAATATGCTTGGGTACGTGCGTCGCTGATAATGTTCGCTGCGTGCAACTTTGTATGATGGTGCTGCTTTGAGATTAGCGTACACCCAGCCTCTGCTCCAGGCAGAACTAGAACCATTGGGCAGTATCCCTAATGTTCGTGGATACCCCTGAAGTTCGTCATCCGGGACTTGCTTCTGTGCGAGAGAAATAACGGTCGAGCAACGTTGACCTTCGACACTTTGCTGTGATCGTCGCCGTCGCCTTCGTGTGGGCAAATGCACAAACGTATTGGGTCACTGCGAAATTTCAATCTCGTCCATTCCGAGTACCGTCCCGCAGGGGTACGCCGCGACGTCTCGACTATACCACGAGGCAGGGCGAGGGCACGATGCACTCCCCAGAGCTTTCCGTACTCATCCTCGCAGGTCCTCAAGTTGATACAGCCGAATTGGTCCACGAACGAGTGATTCACTCCAATGACTGCCTCCGACCCGTTGACTACGGAACATTGTGACAGGCTGCCATAAGGGGAACCTATTACAGGTGCTTTACCCGCAGTACCCAAGAACTCTTCACGATGTCTGCTTGTTCGGTTGTTGTGGCATTGACATTACTTGTTCGGTTGTTGAGAATTGAAATGGATTTAGCGAACATTCATGCAGTTGTCGCGCTAACTCGCTGATCACATCGCTGGCGCCCTAGACGGTATGATCCTACCATCAACACTCCGTGGGTGGGAATGACGAGTGGTTGTGTCATGGAGAGATCGACATTCTTGGTGATTTTTCGTCACCACGGAGTAGTCGGGTGATGCTCGGCTACATGATGGCCATGGTGTAGTGGGCAGTGCTTCGCCGTGTTCGTGTGGTTGGATACGGACTGGTTAGATCTACCGGCAACAACAGAGGGCAAGCAGATGGGCATATGTACACCTTGAAATGGTTGCAAGTGCGGGGACCCCTCGAACTCCAAAGAGGGCTTCACTTCTCCCTACTCCCCTTGCGTGTCTAATACAAGAGATAAAACGTCTTCCCCTTCCACGTAAAGGACATATACGAACACACTTGTGTCAGTCTCTCGAGCGAGAGTCCATTAGGAATGTCAGGTGGCAAAGATGGGGGTGACTCCTCCAGCGACTCTGCGGCGGAAGACACAAAGAGGTCATGAGAAGAGCTCGTGGCCCTGAGGACGCAAGTTTGCTCGCGGACGGATCAGATGAGCCAGCTAATGTCGCTAGTGGAAGATACCATGAAGGCAAGCAAGAAGGAGGAGCCAGCTGGCACCATGGAGGGTGCCGCTGATCGCGGCGATGCTAGGGAGAGCGCCGCCGCGGAGTCCACGAACGCAGAAGGAGGGGCACCGTGGACCGGGAGTGCGCAGGACGGGAGGTACCTGCGCGAACCTGTTCGAGAGTCTGGCCCGGGCGCCACAGCGGCGAAGCAGGGGGCTTTGTCCCCCGAGAGGTGAGAGTAGCCGCTGCTCACAACCAAGATTATAGTAGTGCCATGGGAGATGGTGCTGCTGCTGTTGGCGTTGGATACGGAGCCACAACCCCAGCGATGGGGTACCAAAGTGTGCGGTACACTTCTTCTCCGTTCAGCAGGAAATCGAAATATTTCAACGAATGACTAAATAAATGATTTCCGCATGGCAGCTAATGGCGCAAACCTGTTGGAAAAATTTGAAGAGAGCGAGAGCTTGGAGAATCCCCGTCAACAGCGGAAAGAGCAAGTTTTCGCTGTCACAGCAGTACCGGAGCGAGCAAGTAGAGCTCGCATTCCACGCGTGGAACTTCCTGTCTCACGCGTTGAAAGAAAAAGATCGGAAAATCATGAAGAGNGAATCCCCGTCAACAGCGGAAAGAGCAAGTTTTCGCTGTCACAGCAGTACCGGAGCGAGCAAGTAGAGCTCGCATTCCACGCGTGGAACTTCCTGTCTCACGCGTTGAAAGAAAAAGATCGGAAAATCATAAAGAGGGCAGAGACGCCCCAGGGAGCTCTTCGTGAGCTCAAGACCATACACGACCCTGAACCATCTGTACAGCCGTCAGTGGACCTCAAGTCCCTGACGTCGACCAAGATCTCTAGAGGTGAAAACCCCCAAAACGCCCTAAATAAGATGCTCCAAACCGCAAAGTCCTTAGCGGTGTGCTAAAGAAAGTACTGATCGAATACAAGGCGATCAAGGACAAGCTGGAGCAGGGCAAAGGAAAAGGGGCTAAGGGCGCAGAGCAAGCGTGCTTCGCCGACGGCGAGGGCCGCAGGGAGCGGTACTCAAGTAGACGTCAGGGGCAAGGTCGTGGTCGTGGTCGTGGCCGCGGCCGTGGCGGCGGAGGCGGTCGCGGCGGCGGCGGCGGCGGTCGCGGTGGCCGCTCAGGCGGATCCGGAGGAGTCGACGAGAGCAAGGGAAGCAGCAGTGGAGGCGCCGATGGCGGCGGTGGCGGGGACTTTAAGTTCCCGGGCCGGTGCTTTATGTGTGGACATCGTGGACATCAAACGATCGGCTGCACTTCCAACGAGAAGGACCCCGTGCCGTGGTGTGCGCGCTGCGAGAGGTGGGGCCACACCAAAGAATAGTGCGCGACGGAGGAGGCCGTCCTTGCTCAAATGGTAGAGCATTAGAGCGACGTGGACTCCGTGGAAGACCAGGCGTTTTGTGCCGTGGCAGTCCCCCAGGCGAGTGTGGTACCGTTGGTGAAGTAGGTCTAGTGGGGGTTGTGGAACAAGGCCAGGCGGTGTACGTGGCCGACACAGCGGGCACATGTTCCATGTTCCGATGTGCAGACAACTTCGTGAACTACCGTGAGCGAAGCGGTTGGGTGAAGGGGATCGGAGGCGACAAGGCCCCCGTTCCTCTTCTAGGATACGGAGATGTGACCTTAGTCCTACAGACGGAAGATGGTGGAGTACCCGTACCAGTACTGAATGTTGGCCATGTACCAGAGGCCCCCTACAACCTCCTCTCGCTGTCTTCGTTGGCGGAGGAGGGCACACGTATTCGGGGATGAAGGGGGGCCTCACGCTGACCACGAAAGCCGGGGGAGAGGTGTGGTTCCCCCGGACTGGAACGCTGCTGACCCAACGAGGCTATCAAATAAAGCCAACGCTACACACCGCCCGTGCCGCACTCATTGTTCCTGGCGATGCGAAAGCAGCCAACCCCACTGACCTCAACGAGTACCACCTCGCGCGCGGCCATGCCCACGAGACATTGCTCAGGATCACGGCGGAGCAGCAGTGAGTGCAGCTGACGGATGGACCGCTGCTACCCTGTCTTGGCTGTTCGATGTCCAAGGGACAGGTGAAACCCGTCCAGAAGAGCACGAGCACACGCGCAGTTAAGAAGTTATTTGGCGTGTAGCTCGACTTGGGGGGAAAGATGAAAACCAGGAACATTGGTGGCAACTGGTACACACTGATCATCAGAGACGATTTCTCCCGTTNGACTGGAACGCTGCTGACCCAACGAGGCTATCAAATAAAGCCAACGCTACACACCGCCCGTGCCGCACTCATTGTTCCTGGCGATGCGAAAGCAGCCAACCCCACTGACCTCAACGAGTACCACCTCGCGCACGGCCATGCCCACGAGACATTGCTCAGGATCACGGCGGAGCAGCAGTGAGTGCAGCTGACGGATGGACCGCTGCTACCCTGTCTTGGCTGTTCGATGTCCAAGGGACAGGTGAAACCCGTCCAGAAGAGCACGAGCACACGCGCAGTTAAGAAGTTATTTCGCGTGTATCTCGACTTGGGGGGAAAGATGAAAACCAGGAGCATTGGTGGCAACTGGTACACACTGATCATCAGAGACGATTTCTCCCGTTGGACGCGTGTTTTCTTCTTGAAACACAAGTCTGACGCAGCGGTTGGGTTTGAGAAGTTCCTGGCGGACTACCGAACGAAAGGGGTTCCGTGTGAGGTTTGTATCGCACGTACCGACGGTGGCGGCGAGTTCCAGGGGCAGTTTGCGGAACTTTGTCGCCGACACGGCATCAAAGAAGAGTTCACCCCGCCTCACACCCCAAAATATAACGGTGTAGCGGAGAGAGCGCTAGGGTTGATCACTGATGCCGCGCTTGCGTCACGCATCCAAGCGACGCAACTGTTCCCCGACGCACCGAACCACCCCGGGTTGTGGGCCGAGGCCATTTCGTGTGCATGCCATCAGCTGAACTGCACCGCCACTAAATCAAACGAGGGAGACAAATCCGCCTACGAGATGTTCCACGACTCCCCACCGCCTGTCGGGTCTACATACCCGTTTCTCAAACCAGCCGTGTTCAAGTCGAGAAGAAAAGCAAAGTCGCAACCCAAGGGCGAAAAAGGATGGTACCTTGGTCCTGCCCACAATCACCCCCGTGAATGCGTTCGCATGCCAAACGAAGCTGGAACCGCAATCACCACCCGCAATTTCACCTGGCGCCACGAGCCCGCTGCATCGCCCGCTCCCCCGCAGCTGCTAC